TCCCAAAGTGCTAGGATTACAGAAGTGAGCCGTCACGCCCAGTCCTATTTCCCTATTTTCTTCTTTAGTTTTCAGGGTGTGTGTGTGTGTGTGTGTGTGTGTGTGTGTGTGTGTGTGTTTTCTTTAGAGAGGTTTACTTAAAACTAATTCCCCCTGGGGAAAATGAGCACATATTTCCCTAAGGAGAAATCTCATTTATAGCTGTGGGCTTGTCCCAGGAGACACAGGCAGCCCTCTGCAAACCAGCCCAAGAGCCTTCTCTCAGTAACAAGAGGGTACAGCTAAGAATCAGATGTCTAAAGGAAAGCCCTCCCCAGCCTAAACGCACAAGTCCTTGACCTTTTCACATGTTGTGGAGCAAGCCCTAGCTAGAGTGTGAAGTGAGACCTCAGGACTTTCTTGCCAGATCCCAGAGAAGGCTGGGAGGGCCTAATGGCTGGTCACTGCTTTGTGATATGCTGCTGCCTTATTCCTCAGGGAGTGGCACTTTCAGGTCTGTTTTTCTCTCCTTGCAAACCAAAGAAGTTAATATTAGAACCTGCTTCCAAAAGCAGTGTATCTGTGGACTCTGGGTTTTATGTGTGTTGGGTTGGGAGCCAGGGCTGAAGGCAGACGTAAATTATTTGTTTAGTTTTCTCAAAATATTGATTCTTTGACTCCTGAGCTGTTCTGTGCAGTGAAAGAACCCTGGAGGGGCAGCCTGGGAATACAGGGTTCTGCCCCTTGTGAAGCCACAAATGACCACAGGGCCCTGACCAGTCAGCCACACTCTGGGAGCATCCAGCTTCTAGTGGGTAAAACGGGCAGAACGGGCTCCCTGGTCTAACTCCATGCTTTGCTAGCGATCATGTTCTGGTTGTGTGGCAGGGCTGGCATTCCTGAGTTGCCCTGGTAGTGCTCATTGGGTGGGGCAGTGACCCACTGGACCTGCTGGCATGGGCCCCTCCTTGCAACTGTGATTGTGGCTGCCTGGAAGCCAGGTTTTGTCATTCTTGAGAATTGGAATGAGTGGTTCTCATCAGAGTTAGTGGTGCTCCACTGGGGCCATTTTGCCCCCTAGGAGACATTTGGCCATGCCTGGAGACCTGGAGACATTTTTGGTTGTCAGAACTGAGGGGCAGGGGGTGGTTACTATTGGCATCTACAGTGCACAGCACAGCCCCCACAACAACGAATTATCAGGTCCAGAATGTCAATAGCACCACTGTAGAGAAACTCAAAATAAACTCCATTGTCAAGAAAGTCCCTGACCTTTAGGTAGGTTGGTTGTTTTTTGAGACGGAGTCTCACTCTGTCGCCCAGGCTGCAATGCAGTGGCACGATCTCAGCTCACTGCAACCTCCGCCTCCTGGGTTCAAGTTATTCTCCTGCCTCAGCCTTCCAAGTAGCTGGGATTACAGGTGCATGCCACCACACCCGCTATTTTTTGGTAGTGACAGGGTTTCACCATATTGTCAAGGCTAGTCTTGAACTTCTGACCTCAAGTGATCCACCTGCCTCAGCCTCCCTAAGTGCTGGGATTAGAGGTGTGAGCCACCGCACCTGGCCTCCTTTAGGTTTTATCCCCTCTGTTTCCTCCACTCACCCTGTGCTAGAACCAGATGGAACAACTCCAACCACAATCCACTTGTCTACAGTAAAGCTTTCCTTACCCTGTCCTCCTCATCCTGTCCCACCTTGAAATCACCTGTTGCCCTCCTGGTCTTCCTTTATGCAGTTGTTAAATTTATCATATGGTCTTTCTCAACTGGAAACACCACAAGGGCAGGATCCACAGCTGATCCCTTCTGTGTGCTCTAGGATAGAGGTTCTCAGCCCTGGAAACCCTTAGAAACCCTTGGAGCTCTTCAAGAAAGCACAAGCCCAGGCCAGACGCAGTGGCTCAAGCCTGTAATCCCAGCACTTTGGGAGGCCAAGGCGGGTGGATCACAAGGTCAGGAGATCGAGACCATCCTGGCTAACATGGTGAAACCCTGTCTCTACTAAATATACAAAAATTAGCCAGGTGTGGTGGTGGGCGCCTGTAGTCCCAGCCACTCGGGAGGCTGAGGCAGGAGAATGGCATGAACACGGGAGGCGGAGTTTGCAGTGAGCCGATATCGTGCCACTGCGCTCCAGCCTGGGCGACAGAGCAAGACTCTGTCTCACAGAAAAAAAAGAAGAGAAAAAAGAAAACACAAGCCCAAGGCCAGGGGCCAGTGAGGCTTGGCTTTGCTGCTCAGAAGCACCTAGACAGTTTTACATACAGTCTTGGGGAATTCACAAAGCCCTGAAGCCCCTCCCTCGGATCCCTGGATGAGAGCCCCTGATGAAAGTGGCAGAGCACCCATGGTGCTCTGCATGCCATTCCAGAATAATGCCAAGACTGCTTGAAGTATGAAATGTGTGTGTGTGTGTGTGTGTGTGTGTGTGTGTGTGTGTAGGGGGTTAAAGTTTAGACTTTAGTCATCATAAAAGTGGCACCAGTGGTTATGAAGACATGAACCTTACCCATGATGGAAAGAGAAGGAATAGAATGCCATGAAATTTCTGCTTGTTTAGTAAAAGCAGAGTAAGCACCTAAGGCTTTAAAACTATTTATTTAAGTTAATAGAGGATGTAGCAAGATCCTTATGAAAAAACATGAGATCGTTGTCCACACAAATGCAAAGTAATGCCTTTTCTATATGTGCAGTTTGGGGAGGTTCCCTGTTCTGTATATTTGGGTGAAAAGAAGTGTTGAATATGTGACTTGTAAGGCAAACCAAATAATTCAGAGTATAAATACTCCTACTCGAGTGGGGAAAGTTATAAAATGACTGCCAGATGATAAATATTTGCTGTAAATGTTGAGTTCGTCATGAATGAGGAGTGGTTTGGGGCTTTGGGCAGAGGTGCAGGTGGTACCTTTCTGGGTACCACTGGCCAAAGTTCATCTCATTCCTGGGATTATACCTGGGTGGCTATGGGGAATAGTTCGTTTTGAAACCTCTTCAGATATTGAGAGCTTGTTTCGAGAATCTGCCAGGCTTTGGGCTAGTTCTTGCTATTTTTACTGTGTGTGTGTGTGTGTGTGTGTGTGTGTGTGTGTTTTATTTTTTTAAACTCTGGACAAAAATGTCTCACCCATCACTCACAAAAGAACATTAGGAGGCTCTGTATTCCTAGCCACACCCTAGATTTAAAACACAGTTAATAGGGATTTGTTTTTCAGGCCTTATAAAGTAAGGAGCACAAAGTATAAATACGCATGAATTTGTTTCTCCTGAGTGAGTTTTTTTACACCCAGGCTTTAAAAATTAGTTCAGAGTTTTAAAAGATGAACAAACAATTCCTATGGGCAAAGGAAGTAACAGTGAAACATTTCTGCCAATTTCTGTTGAATATCATAATCCGCTTAGGCATGGCGAAGTGAGGGTTGGAGGATGAGCTGCATTTCTTTCTTTAAGCCACTCTCCTTTCCGATTAGGGGAGACTAATCCCCCTGAGAGTAGAGACTGTCATCTTTGCTTCGGAATCCTCTGAGTGACTGTAACTTAGCGTCTTGTATGGAGAAGGCACATAGTGCATACTATCTGCTTGTTGCTAGTGATAAATTCACCTATAAAGGTTGGAATTTGACCGACTTCAAGTTTAAAAGGGGGATTATTCCATAAAGCAGGGTAGGGAAAAGCAAAAACAGCAGTGGTGGGTTTTTTTTTTTTTTTTAGCAACTGGACATAGCGTCTTAGAAAAATGACCTGGCCCTGCCCTTATTTGGTGCCTTCATGTCTCGGTGGAGCAGGGAATCCAAGTGTGGTAAGCCAGACAGTCCCCTGCCATTCTGTGCTCCAGGGGTATAAGGCTGACACCTAGTTTCACCCGAAAAGGTGATTCAGGCTTCTTAATTCTTTACAGAACCACAGCTTAGTACTCAGGGCAGGTGTCACTCTGTGGGCTGATTCTCCATCTGGTATCTAGGAATTAACACTGTCATCCTGTGAGAGTCAGGAGCAGAAGTTCAGTTCCTCTTGGTGTGGTCTTTTGCCACGGCAGGTATGATTTATCCATTAGGAATGTCAACCCAAGTGCAAGGGAGAAAAAGATTTTGTTCTCCTACCCTATTAAGGCAGTGTCTGAGGGGCAGACCGATCATGTCAACAAACTCGTCTAGTTCTGCTTCCTCCCGGGCCTGTTGTGAGGACCTGACATACCTGGCCATGAAGTGATGTACTCTTGAATCGCAGGAAGTGTTGGGGTTAACGAGCTTTGAGAGGAGGGTTAGGCCTTTCTCATTTTAACCTCCACTAGCCAGAACCAGACTGACCGGCAGTCTTATGAGTTAGTTAAGTAGCTCTTGAATGTGATTTCCTTCCACCCAAAAAATATGGGCAAAGCCCCCCAGAGGGAAGGTCAAAAGGATACAGTGGGGTAATATTTCTAGCAGTATGAAGGGGTCTCCAGGCCTCCGCTGCCCTAGCCTGGTCATGCCAGCAGCAAAGAGCAAGGAACCAAAGGGCAGCCTTCCCCACGGCCTGCCTGCCAGTCACCAGTTTGAGCCAGGAAGCAGTGTAGGGGGACAATAGAATTATACTGTTGTTCATATTGTCTGTATGTGAAAACTAATCTGGGGATAATATAATAATCCTTGCCCAACCCCATCCCCACCCCCAAGCAATTGAATTCTTTAAAAAACAGCTTCACCAAAAATATGAGGAAGACCAGATTTTACAGGGCTTACTCAACAATTTTGAGATGTGCATAGTAAGAGAACTTTAGTTCTCATCCTTTTGACAGCAGAACAGGGGGCATGGAAAACAGCATATTTCTGATTCAGGAAAAGACCCTTGATTTTATGCATGACAGCATTGATGATGAGTAGAGACTGAGACTTTTAGTCTTGAATATTTCACTTGTTTTGAGCAAAAGTAGTTAAGACCAGTTTAAGCCCAGGAAAAGGGAGTAGTTAAGTACTCATAGAGGGTTGAAGCAATAGAAGTTTTGAGAAGGCCCAATGGCTCAATGCATTTCTTTCTCTGCAGTATGCCACCACGGGCTGTTCCCTGACCCTGCACCATACGGAGAAACCAGAACATGAAGACATCTGTGAATACCGTCCCTACTCCTGCCCTTGTCCTGGTGCCTCCTGCAAGTGGCAGGGGTCCCTGGAAGCTGTGATGTCCCATCTCATGCATGCCCACAAGAGCATTACCACCCTCCAAGGAGAAGACATCGTCTTTCTAGCTACAGACATTAACTTGCCAGGGGCTGTCGACTGGGTGATGATGCAGTCATGTTTTGGCCATCACTTCATGCTGGTGCTGGAGAAACAAGAGAAGTACGAAGGCCACCAGCAGTTTTTTGCCATCGTCCTGCTCATTGGCACCCGCAAGCAAGCTGAGAACTTTGCCTATAGACTGGAGTTGAATGGGAACCGGCGGAGATTGACCTGGGAGGCCACACCCCGGTCGATTCATGACGGTGTGGCTGCGGCCATCATGAACAGCGACTGCCTTGTTTTCGACACAGCCATAGCACACCTTTTTGCAGATAATGGGAACCTTGGAATCAATGTGACTATTTCTACATGTTGTCCATGATGTGACTTTCGTAAACCATCAAAATTATTTGGGCATAGTGCTCTATGTTTAATAAAGGTTTTTATAGCTGTTTTATTCCATATGTCTTCACAAGTCAGGACCCACAATTACCCGTGTTTTGTTTGAACAGCAGTTTCCCATCTGGCTTCAACCCAACAAAGTTCATTAACCTGGGATGAATGGGGTTGGCCTGTTGGTAATTTGGAGGCTGTTCTGTGATCTAAAACACCTCTTATTAAATTGTATTTACTCCCTAAACAACACTTGACAGGCTGTTGCACAGGGCTTCTATAGATCAGTGTGTCAGGAATGGGAGGCCCCTTCCTGCCTGCCTTCGCGTATTGGTCCCTTGACATTGACAAAAGCACAGTGACTGTCAGCAGATTCCTTTACTTTTGTTTGTGGGATGTAGGAATTGTTTTAATGCATTTTAAACAGTGTTTCTCAAATAGGATGGCTGGCTAATAGACACTGAATCACCCGGAGTGCTTATCTTAAAATTGCAGATTTAGGGAGCCTGCCAATTTAACAGTCTCATCAGGTGATTCTTTTCAGCAGTAATGTTTGAGAATTACTGGGTTAAATTGTGGGAAAGGGTCCAGATTTTAAAGGTGCTTTAAGGTTGCCCTCTGCCGATACTGTTTGTCTTTCTACTGTTTCATCCCCTAACCTCCCCCAACCCTCAAATTAAAACTAGAACTATAGATCCACATGCACACACGCCTGAGATTTGGTCACTCACCTATGTTTTGGGTGGATTGCCTAGGAAAGCAAGTCATATGGCCATTGATAGTTCTCATGTAATTAGTTTTGCTCACCACTAGTACAGATGACCCGTTTACACATGGCTTCCCTCGGAAGCCCTCGTCGACAGTAGCTGGTGCGAAAGACGAGGTCAGTAGAGTTGGAAAAGCTTTATAACCGGTGTGTCATATGCTTGCTATTTAAAGCTGTGTGTTGATTTTGTTTTTCTGCCACATTCACTAGTTTTTTAATAAATATTTTCCAAAAATGGATGTTGTGCTTCATTTCCCTAATTGAATAACGGGTATTTATTGAGCATCTACTGTGTACAAGTGCAGTGAACCTTCATCACTACATCTGGGGTTGGAACTTTCACTGTTTCCACTGTGGAAACAGTCATTGGGCCAAGTCATGGCGCGGGTCCATGACAGCACTGGGGTCCGGGCTCATGTGTCTGAACCACTGAATGTCAGTGCTGCAGGTCTCCTCCCAGGGCTGTCGTTTCTATCTGATGGTGCCAGCAGCTGTGCAAGAAGAGGATTGCTCCTGCTTTACAGAGTCAGAAGGAAGACGCTTGGCCAGTGCTGACATCCAGAGTGCTAGGGTTGATCCATGGTGACCCACTGCCTCAGTCCCAACCCTAAACTCTCAAAAGAATTCAGAGGATTAGGGCCAAATGCTCAGCAAGGATTGAAGGCTGCTTACTTCAGTGTCCCAGTTTGTTTTTGTTGTTGTTGTTGTTTTTGTTTTTGAGACGGAGGCTAGAGTGCAATGGCGTGATCTCAGCTCACTGCAACCTCTGCCTCTGGGTTCAAGCAATTCTCCTGCCTCAGCCTCCCGAGTAACTGGGCCTAGAGGCCTATGCCACCCCACCCGGCTAATCGTCGTATTTTTAGTAGAGATGAGGTTTCACCATGTTGGCCAGAACTCCTGACCTCAAGTGATCCACTTGCCTCAGCCTCCCAAAGTGCTGAGATTAAGGCGTGAGCCACCATACCTGGCCCTCAGTATCCCAATTTAATTAGCATACTACCAAGTGGAGGTGATGGCTTTGGAGTTCACTGTTTTTTAAGTGAGATACAGTGCTGAGTTTTTAGCTAGCATAGGGCTCTGGCATTTAAAGAATTGCTAAAGTAACCTCTTCTAGGCTGTTCTTCAAATAAAAGTGAAAAACAGTGCCCTGCACAAAAGTAGGGGTTTGCAACATTTGTGGTGAATGAACGAAAACCACAAGTCTTATCACTAAGAAAGTCACATTTCAAGTCAGTATACAGGGGGACCTGTGAAGGTGAAACTAGGATCCAGGAGCAGGTGAACTTTGACCCTCAGGACCAGAGCCAGTCCAGATATGGCCTCCAGGGACCTCACTGCACCCACGCAAGGTGCAGCGTGCATACACTGGCCAAGCTTGGCAGCATCACTGCATGTTCACAGCTTACCCTCTTGTTACGTGTGATAGAGGAATCAGGACTGCTTGGTTAACAGTGCATAAAAGGCAAAACTATAAACAAAAGACATGAAGAAGGAGAAAGTGGACATGAGTTACTCCAAAAGTACAAAAAGACTTTTAGCCCAAAGAGGTAAAGTGATGAGCCAGCAGCCACACAGTGCACTAGTGGCAGCACTGGTTCTAGAATTCAGGCTTCTTGGTTCCCCATGCAAACTTGCTCCTAGAACTTAACAAATGAAAAAGTTGTAGGCAACGCAACTCTGAACTTTTATTTTCCAGAGTTACGTAGTTCCCTTTCATCTCTGTCACTGGAAATCTGTAAACTTAACCTTTACTCTTGACTTTCTTGAAACTGTGCATTTTCTACCAGAAAATAAAAATCCCCAGGTTATTCCCTGTTTTAACAGGAAGTGAAAATAGCAAAAAAAGATTATGTAAAGTGAAATGTCTTTTTATACAGTTCCAATTGCAAATGCAATTTAAAACATGATGAGTACATTCCTTGGCTTGTTGCTTTAAAAAAAAAAAGTGAGAGAAAAAAAAAAGAAAAGCAATGATAGGCATTTGTCAAAACTCATCACATGGTCCACTTAAGTACCATATTTTTAAAAATAAGAATATTTTATCTTTCGTGTCCTAGTTCAATATTCTAATTTGATAATCTGGTGATTAAACGATGGTTGATTAAGCCTGTGTCTTATGACACATGAGTCATTCTAAAGAAAAAAGGGTTCTCAAAATACCTTGGGAGAAAATGTTAACAGTCATTAATTCTGGGTGCCTAGAACCTGGGTGTATGTTATATTATTAATTGCATTGTTCTATGTTTTTAGTTTTTAAAAAAAAAAAAAACCAACCTTGAGATCAGGGGTTCCCAATATTCTTGTAAGGAGGAATTGGTCTTGGTTTCCCTGAATCCAGAAGACTTAAAGGATTGAGACAGCGAAGTTCTTAGAGGGAACTGTCCAGGGGATTATGGGATACTTCAGAGAAGAGGCACCGAAGCATCAACCATCTTGGAACTCTGCCAACTAGAACCTCAGACTCAACTGACACATCCAAACTAATGGCCGAGTGTCTTTTAGCAGCATCAAGCAACTCCCTTACAATACCACCCAAAGTAATTTTCCTGAAGAAATTCTCCTTGTATGTAACTTCATTCAGGTTCTTGGGGCTTGCCAAGTAGCCAGCAATGTGACCTTAACTTGGTCAGTTGACCTCTCTGGTCCTAAATTTCCTAATCTGCAACATTTGAAGGTTTATTTTCTAAATGTTTTTACTTTAGTACTAATTTCTGTGAGATAATCAAGCTATTCAATGTTAGGTTGAGGTACGTAAATCATTCCTGCCGGCCTGTGTACGAGGTGGTTCTGGTATCACTGTGGCCCAGCATGTGTCTGTCTGTCAGCGTTGGCAGGCGAGTCATGCTCCAGCTACCTCTCAGATTCCCATGGTTTAGAGCTAGGGGTGGTGCCTGGGTAGAGGGACCAGTTTTGCTTTGTGGCTCTCACTTGAGGGGCCTGTGGCCTTGACCCTTCCTGATTCATGCAGACTGTGCTTGAAAGTATGATTCTAATTTCACTGACCTGTGAAAGGGAGGCAAGAGCGCTTAAAGGGAGAAATCTAATTCCCTGTATTATTAAACCTTCTACTAATTTGAAGCTTAAAATCTCTTATTTGTGAATATCATTAATGTGTCTTGGAGTCTTCAAATGACAAGCAGAAAGGACTTTGATCCCACTGACACCAACACCCACCACCACTACCATTTTACAGAATAAACAAGACCTACAGAGGGAAATGCACTGGCCCCAAACCACACTGCTGATGAGAATTTTCTGTGATGATGACATGGTGTCTTCTGTATTGAGTAAAAGGGAAAAAAATTACAAAACAGCTTAAAGTACAAGCCAACATTTTACCATGACTAAAGGAAGGGGCTCCCAGTCTTGATTCCCCATTTCCATTGCCACCATCTGGGCCAGGACCACTGACAGGGCTCCTAACTGTTTGTCCTCCTTCTTCCTGCCTGCTCCAATCTATTCTACACATAGGCAACTAGAGGCTCTTTTGACATGAAAATCAGTGGCATCACAGCTCTTCAACATTCTCTTGTGGTGCACCCTGTTTTTTTCCTTCATGGCACCACATTTGCGATTACATATTTTTGTTGTTGTTGTTCAGCGCCTGCCACTCCTTGACAACCTGCAGGGTAACACAGACAATGAAGTCCCCGGCACCTAGGCACCCAATTAATATCTGAATGAATAAATAACTACTAACAGGCTAGTGTAAGAGCAGCATTAAAGTCAACACTTTAAGAGTTAAGGTTTTCTGTTTTTGTACCAAAAGTCCCTGGGGAAATTACGCAAGTAGGCAGGGAACAGAGATGGGGAGATAATCGAACAATCCAGAGAAAGGAAGAAACAAAGGGTTTCTCTGCCCCCGTCATCCTCCAGGCAAGGTCACAGATGCTGGTTTGAAGGTTCTGAGCCTTGAAATTTTTTGTCATGGAGTCACCTGACATTCAGATCAAAGGCCGACTCCGCTCTATGTTTGATGATCCTTGCAGCAAGCACAGATCAAGGTTCCCAAGACCTGCAGCAACTGGATTACAAGATTAGATCAATTTGCAAAGTCCACCAAGATCACAGCAGTTGCCATCCGTTAGGTACCTATTGCGTGCAAAGTGCTTTGTCTGTATTAACCCATTTAAGCCTCTCAATAAAGGAAGTGTTTATTATCCCCATTTCAGAGTTGAAGAAATGAAGGCTCAGAGAGATGAAGTAATTTGCCTACACTCACACAGCTGGTAAGAAACAGAATTGGAATATGAACCCATTGCGGAGTCCATGCCCCTTCACCATATCACAGGATCCATCATTATTCTTGTTTGGCTTTCACATATTTTGACCACCGGCAAAAATATTGCTTATTTGTAACAGATAAAGATGAACAAGATGGAGGGGTGCAGGATGCTTGGTGAATCGGAACATACCACCTGTGCTTTGGAACTACCTTACCCACTGTCATGGCATGCTAGAAGGGGATGGAGACCTAGAAATGGTTCAGACCCTCACTAGTTAAAGTGTGGTCCGTGCACCAGTGGCGTCAGCATCACCTGGGAACTTGTTAGAAATGCAGCATCTTAGGCTCCACCCCAGACCTCCTGACCAGAATCCCCATTTTAACACAGTATGCAGGTGATGTGGATGCATGTTCAAGTTTGGGAAGCACTGGTCGGACCAAAGGTAATCACCCCACATGTCCTTTAGAATCATGTGGGGAACTTTAAAGAATGCCAGAACCTAAGTTAGAATTCTTGGCAGTAAAGCTGAGCTTCTGTGTGCTTTTTAAAGCTTCCCAGAAGGGACTAGCACACAGTCAGGGTTGAGAACCTCTGACCCAGTCCAACCTCACTGCCTTATTTTCTCTTGTATTTCTCATCCAGCCACTGAGACAAGTGAAGTGACCTGTCAACACTGTAGATTGAATAACCAGGGAAGGCTGAGGAATGCAAGTGAATGTAAAAACCACCTGGAGGGAAGGAAGCATTGCAGCAAGAAAGGAACAGCAAGTGCAGAGGCCTGAGGCAGAACCAGCGGGGAAAATGCTTTGAGGTGAGGCAGGTAAGGAGCTACAGCCTTGCCCTGTGAGGCCAGCTAGGGGTCTGGGTTTCTTTCCAGGTACAATGGGAGGCCACTGGAGAGTTTCAAGGAGCATGGATTATGGGATTCGGGGCGAGCTGTAGGTGCTCAATTGAAAAAACAAAACAAAAACAATGATTGTAAAGGGCAGGAATGGAAGCATTTTGGAAGCTAT